ACTAAAGTATTGGCTCTGATCCAGGAAAGATGGAAGGTCCAGGTGAACTTTTTGAGCAATAAAACAGAACTGTGCTTTTCCTCTTATGATGCTCTGGACCAGCAAAGACTCAGCTCCTACAAAAGTGCATTTGAAACATGACTCCTTAACCTCGTGCTGCAGCTCGATTGTTTTGAGTTTTCAAACTATTTTCTGACAGAAAATGTTCATTGTTTGTTGGTCATAAGGGTGAAAAAGGAAGACATCAAAAACATTTAAACATTTAACCAAAAAACAATGAAAAGTCCAAGAGTCTTGAATCTTGAGCAGTGGAGTTCCTCAGGGCTGTGTACTTTCCCCCTCACTCTTCTCCCTGTAGCACACACACTGCCCCTCAGCCTCCATGTGAACCTGAATACTACACTATACTGAAACCTTTTCTACCATGGACCTCTCCTGGACACATGAGGGCGTCTCACCTGTAAATAGTGATTTTATTTTGTAGTGTATGTAGAAACCAATGAGCTGATATACACTTCAGCAGCAGTGATCCTAAAGGTGCTGGGCTGTAAGAGCAACCATGGAAGCCATGAGATTCAATACTCACCATGGAAAAGACGGTTAGAGGCCAAAATCAAGGAGGCGAGGACAAAAGTGAGCCAACTGTCAGAAGCCCAGAAAGGTACAAAGAAAAAGCAAGTACCCAAGAGGTACAGCCAGATGCCTGATCTGAAGCACTTGAAACTGGCAAACAAAGTCTCCAAGCCTTGGCCAGCCGCCTAAAGAGGTACACACGAGATAATGAGGCCAGCTGAATTAACCGGCTGTTCACAACACAACCGGTGAAAGTGTACGCTCAGTGGCAGGGTAATAACACCAGAGCATTACCCACCAAGGCTGGAGACTGAGAGGTACTGGAAAGGCACATGGGAGAGGGAGACATCACATAACACTGATGCACAGTGGCTGGTGGATCTGAGAGAAGACCACAGCAACCTCCCTGAACAGAATCCAGTCACCATCATAGTGGCAGACATCCAGGAAAGAGTCTGAAGTATGAAAAACTGGACCAGGCCCTGACATGATCCACACAGACTGGCTAAAGAAACTCACTGCTCTTCCATGAGCGCCTGGCAGCACAAATGAACCAGCGGACTCACCCTGAATGGCTAACCCAAGGGCGTACGATCCTGATCCTGAAGGATCCCTCAAAGGGTGCAGTCCCATCCAACTATCGGCCAATAACCTGTCTCTCCACAACATGGAAGCTCATGTCAGGCATCATCGCTGCTAAGATAAGTGGGCACATGGATCAATACATGAGCGCAGCACAGAAGGGCATCGCTAAAAACACCAGGGGAACCAAACTCTAATTACTGGTGAACAGTCGCCCGCGACTTCAGAACCCGTAAGACCAACCTGTGCACTGCCTGGATTGATTATAAGAAAGCCTCTGACTCAATGCCACACACATGGATCACTGAGTGCTTGGAGCTGTACAACATCAACAGGACTCTAAGGGCGTTCATTGCAAAACTCGATGCAGTTGTGGAAAACCACCCTTGAAGCCAATGGGAAGCCACTTGCACAAATGTCCATCAAATGTGGCATATACCAAGGAGACTCACTGTCCCCACTGCTGTTCTGCATCTGAACCCCCTCAGCCAAATCATCGACCGCACTGGCTACGGATACCGACTCAGAAACGGGGCCACCATCAGTCACCTCCTCTACATGGATGACATCAGCTGTACGCTAAGAGTGAGCGAGACATCGACTCACTGATCCACACCACAAGGATCTACAGTACAGACACTTGGATGTCATTCGGGCTTGAAAAAGGTAGCAGGATGGTGAAAAAGAGAGGGAAGGTAGAACACACAGAGGGGGTCTCACTCCCAGAAGGAACAATAGCAGACGTTGAGGACCGTTACAAGTACCTTGGTATCCCACAAGCAAATGGCTCCTCGAAGAGGCAGCTACAGCCAAATACCTGCAAAGAGTGAGACAAGTCCTAAGAAGCAGCTCAATGGAAGAACAAGGTGCAGGCAAAAAACAGCTACGTCCTGTCAGTGATCAGATCCCAGCAGGAATTATGCACTGGTCAAAGGAGGAGATACAGACCACAGATGTTAAGACACAAAAGCTCCTGATCATGTGGAGGGTTCATCCCAAATCCAGCACCCTGAGACTGTACGCAAGCCGGAAGGAAGGAGGCTGAGGACTAGTGAGTGTGGGAACCACTGTCCAGGATGAAACATACAAGCTCCATGAGAACATCAAGGACAAGGCCCCGACAGATGAGGAGCTCAGAGAATGTCTCAGACAGTGGGGTCCAGAGGAAAGAGGAGCTGGAGGGACCATCATGGCAGGACAAACCCTACTACATGAACCACCGGAACAGAACTGAAGTGGCTGAGGTCAAGAAATCCTCCCAATGTCTTGAGAGGGTTTGAAGGCCACACAGAGGCTCATCCTGGCAGCACAGGAGCAGACCCTGGGCACTCGAGTAATAGAGGTCCAGATCTACCACACCAGACCAGAGCCACGGTGTAGACTGTGCAAAGAGGCTCCTGAGACAGTCCAGCACAGAACTGCAGTTGTCCGATGCTGCAGGGAAACAAACATGGAGCTAACAGAACCAAGTGGTGGTCATAGTGTACAGAAACATCTGTGCAGAGTACGAGCTGGAGATCCCAGGATCAAGGTGGGAAACACCTCCAAAGATTGTGGAGAACAACCGACCCAAGATCCTGTGGGACTTCAGATACAGACTGACAGGATGGTGATGAACCAACCAGACATAGTGGTGATGGAGAAGAAACAGAGCAGAGTCGTGGTGGTGGAACATCACAACACCAAGAGACGGAACATCAGGAGAAAAGAACACGAGAAACTAGAGAAATACTAGAAGCTCAAGGAGGAGCTGGAGAAGATCTGGAAGGTGAAGGCATCAATGGAGCCTGTGATGATCAGACACTCGAGGCTGTAACCCCCAAACTGGAAGAAACTACAACAGATACCAGGAAAAACAACAGAACATCTCAATCCATAAAAGTGCAGTACAGGAACAGCAAAGATACTGAAGAACTCTCAAACTCCCAGACTCTGGTAGAGGAGCCGAGCTGGATGAGGGAGAAACCAACCACCGTGGAAGGAGCACATTATTTATTACTTACAGTAAATACAGCATCCAGCTTCTCTCTGTTTAAAGTTTACCTCCCTCTCCCCAGACACTTCCCCCTCCCCTTTAAAGCACAGTCCAGGTACAGAGAGACACTTACAGGCCTGAAGCAGCTTTAAACTCTGGACCTGGATCTCTGGAGCGGTCACTCTGCAGAGACTCACAGCTCTGAGCACAACTCCTGTCAAACAAACACTTTATGTGAGGAAATATGTGAAACCTGCAACACAACCATTGCTATTTTACTCTAGTTTTATTATTTTCACATTTTTATTAAATATTATTCTTTGTCTGTGGGAAAAGTTGATAAAAAGTGGAACACTGTGATACAACAGTGTTGTGTATTATTTATCATTTATTTGCCTGTGTGGACTTGTGCAGTCTGTTGTGGTGATGTTGCACTTGTCTTTCTGTGCACAGTTAATATGGTGCAGTTAAAGTTTGCCTCAATGTAACTGGAGCTAAAAAAAAAAAACAAGCAGCTAATGGAGTTTAGTGCAGGTCTTAAGTCTGCAGGACGGGATCGGTTCATCAGTGACATTAACACGAATCGTGCCAGAGAAAGTCACTGTCTGAAGATAAACTCACATCTGCAAAGACGTCTGAGCTCAGACTCAACATGGAGACACGGACACAACAGCTGAGAGGAGCTGAAACTGAACTTAACGGCTCGGGGACTGTCCACAAGGTCAAACTGAAGAACCAGTCCAAAAATAAAAATCACAATGCAAATAAATGTCCTTGTCAAAGAGACCAAATGCCATAACTGTTAAAAACAGACATTTGAAAAAGGCACGTCACACAAAAGCACAGAAAAACCATTCACATCCAACATTCTACACGAGATCTGAAGGTAAAACACAAAGTACATGAGTGTGAAAGAGGATTCAGAACCAGAGGAGCTCGCCGTCCTGACAGTGAGCAGTGATGAAATGTACAAGGGACATTCTCTGCTGAAGATGTAAATGTGGAGATGGAAATAGACACTGAGGCATTTCACCTTTACAAGCAGCTAAAGAGAAACTCAGAGCTTTTCCTGGAGGACACAGTCATGTAGTGGGACAGTTTGTAGCACGTGTCAAGTACGAGGATCAAGCTGTTGAACTGCCTCTGTTATCAACGTGGAGCATCGCTCTGTGGCAGAAACTGTTTGAAACGACTAAAACTCAACTGGAAATGATCAAGTGTGTGAACGTGACAAAGCCCCAAACCATTAAAGACCTACAGACAAATGCAGAGAAACGTTCAAGGACGAGTTGGACACTCAGAAGGAAATAAAAGCAAGTATCATCGCCAGTGCAGAAAAGAGCTAAATCACTGCACTTATGTGGAGACGAGGCAGGTTAAGTGTCTTGCCCAAGGACACAATGGCAGTGTTCATCTGTAGGAGCTGGAATCACACCAGCCACCTGATCTGGAAGAATCTCCACCTGTGACTTTAAGACGCTCTGAGCGTGTGCAGAAAACCCAGAGACACTAAATGTCTGTGTTTACTGTTTTTGTTCGACTTTTATTTGAAGAGTTTTTCTTCTTTTAAAGAGCGTCTGATCTGGTGAATCTGCCTCGATTTTCCTGTGTGGATTTGCACAGTTTGTCCTGGTGCTTGTCACTCTGTCCCTGAAAATGTGTCCAGTGAATATGGAGCAGTTAAAGTTTGTCTAAATGTTCCTGTCTCTGACATTTGACTGAGTTTTTGATTCCATCTTAAATGAGTTTAAATGTTCCTGTGTTGAGCTGAGGGACAAGACCTGCACAAAATTTAAATCTGTAAAAATCTGTCAAATGAGCCTCAAAATTGTTCCGTTACATTTGACTCCAGAAAATAAAGTCAACAAACCTTTTAAAATCAATACCCCAGGATTTGGAGCTGTCGCTCTTCACAGAAACTGGACCAGGTTTAGTCCCAGATCCGGGTGGGTCCATCTCGGTCCTGCACAAAACAATGACATGAGAACTATGGTAAACAAAGACACATTTAAAGCTCCTGTATCACACAAAACTGACTCCTGTCAACTTGAACTCATGTTCTAATGTTAGAACCTCCTCAAAAACAGAGCTGGACTTGTGTTTTGTTTCATTCACATGTTTGACTCTTTATTATGAGTCTGTTACATCTGCAAAGCTCCAAACGCTCTGTTCCACCTTTGCTAAGGTCTGTCTGGTCCCTGTATGACCAGAGCAGGAGCTGTGTTCTCTGCAGTAAGTCAGACCTGTTCCTGGTGCATGTTGGACTCCGCCAGGGCCGCCCCTGTCACCGGTTCTGTTCATTGTTTTTATGGACAGAATTTCTAGGCGCAGTCAGGGGTCGGAGGGTCCGGTTTGGGGACCACAGGATCATCTCTGCTGTTCTCAGATGATGTTGTCCTGTTGGCTTCATCAGACCAGGACCTGCAGCTCTGGGGCGGTTTGAGTCGAGTGTGAAGCGTCTGGGATGAAGATCAGTTCTTTCAAGTCTGAGGTCGTGGTTCTCGACCGGAAAAAGGCGTCTTGTCGTCTCCGGGCGGGTGGAGAGTCTCTGCCTCAAGTGGAGGAGTTCAAGTCTGTCAGGGTCTTGTTCTTGAGTGAGGGGAGGACGGAGCGTGAGATTGACAGGTGGACAGGTGCAGCGTCTGCAGTGATCACTGTGGGGAAGAGGAGCTGAGCCGAAAGGTGAAACTCTTGATTTACTGGTCAATCTTCGTTCCTCCCCTCACCTCTGGTCATGAGCTCTGGGTATTGACCGAAAGGACGAGATCAACGATACAAGTGGTCGAAATGAGTTTCCTCCGCAGGGCGTCTGGACGCTTCCCTTAGAGATAGAGTGAGGAGTTCAGTCACACGGGAGGAGCTCGGAGTAGAGCTGCTGCTCCTCCACGTGGAGAGGAGCAGCTGAGGGGAGGACGTCTGTTCTGATGTCTCCTGGTCGTCTCCCTCAGGAGGTGTTCATGTCCCACCTGGAGGAGGCCCCGGGGAAAGACCCAGGACACACACTGGAGGGACTTTGTCTCTGGACTGGGAACACCTCAGGTCCCACTGGAGGAGCTGGAGGAAGTGTCTGGGTGAAGGAAGTCTAGGAGTCCCTGTTTAGACTGATGCCCCCGAGACCCGAGCCCGGATAAAGCAGAAGAAAATGGATGGATGGAAAAAAGTTCAAAAGTTGTCAAAGTTCAGGTCATTTTGCAGAGACACAGAAGTGACCTTTGAGAACTCAGGCCTATGAAATGTTGTCGTTGCCATGGAAACGGAGATGAAAGTTACACATTCCTTACCTCAGTACTTTTTTAACTATTTACATTGAAAAGAATGAAAATGCTTCCAGCAGCTGGTATTCCCAGGAGGACTCCCATCCAAGAACTAACCAGACCCACACTTACTTTGTTTCTGAGATGGATGAGAAATGTGGGTCCATATGATCCAGGGAGGGAAGAACTTTTTCTTTTAAAGAGCGTCTGATCTGGTGAATCTGCCTCGACTTTCCTGTGTGGATTTGCACAGTTTGTCCTGGTGCTTGTCACTCTGTCCCTGAAAATGTGTCCAGTGAATATGGAGCAGTTAAAGTTTGTCTAAATGTTCCTGTCTCTGACATTTGACTGAGTTTTTGATTCCATCTTAAATGAGTTTAAATGTTCCTGTGTTGAGCTGAGGGACAAGACCTGCACAAAATTTAAATCTGTAAAAATCTGTCAAATGAGCCTCAAAATTGCTCCGTTACATTTTACTCCAGAAAATAAAGTCAACAAACCTTTTAAAATCAATACCCCAGGATTTGGAGCTGTCGCTCTTCACAGAAACTGGACCAGGTTTAGTCCCAGATCCGGGTGGGTCCATCTCGGTCCTGCACAAAACAATGACATGAGAACTATGGTAAACAAAGACACATTTAAAGCTCCTGTATGTGGGGAAGCTGGCCAAAGTGGTTGAAGAAGGAGGCAGACAAAAAAAATGTCCCTTTACCAAAAAGTATTTATTTTGTCCTTCACCGAGTTGTGGACAAAATTAAAATACATATTTACAAAAAAATAACTGCTTAAATAGAGCAAAAGCAACAGAAATTAATGAAACAAAAGAAAATACCCCACATGCTCACAGCTGCACTGATCGTGATTCACCCTGAATGGCTAAACTGCTCAAACTTTTATACCACCCAGACAGGAAGTCCCTCCCCCTGGGTTCGCACCAACCAACTCACAGGTTAGTTGGACTTAACTTCCCTGTTTTTAGTTGTGCTGTATAATATCCTTGCCTGAGGGCCTAAATCCCCTTTAAATTAAACAGTGCTCCAAATAAACTAGAAACACTGAAACAAAATCCTACAAACCAACTCCATAAAACAAAAGGAACTGAATCTGAGTCTTCCCTCCACATGGTCTGGGCCAAAACCTCCCCCAGAGTCTTTAAATATGGCCGACGATGGTCACGCCCCCTCTTTTGTCTCCAGACCAGGTGGAGTCACAGGTGAGGTGGTAAGTTAATAACCAAAATGTATAGATATAACCAAATAAAATAAATTTAAAGTAACTGTGTGCATAGTGATTCATTTAACTAAACAAAGACTAAATAAAACAAACCTGGGATAGTGTTATTTAGCTGTTTAGTTGATCTGAGATAGATGTAAACCAGGGGTGCTCAATACGTCGATCGCGATCTACCAGTCGATCGCCAAGGTCGTGTGGGTAAATCGCCGTGTCTCGTCTCGGACTCGATCGCATTTGGACTCGGTCTTGTCTCTCACTCGAGGTCTGACACTCAACAAGTGTGATCATATTTCATTCCGGCCGCTGCTGTTGGTAATAAACTTGTAGCGGGTGCAGGAGCGTGTGGGGCGTCTCAGTGCAGCCTGTGCGCTCATTTGAAACCCGCGGAGACTCTACGGCGCATCACAAACACACACGCTCCCTATGCACGGCTCGTCTGCGACAGCGTGTGCCCTCGTGTACCAGCGTGCATCACAGGGCAGGTTCAACTTCCTAAACATCCTACCTGTCCATCTGCCTCACGTCAGCACGCCGCCCCTCGCCTTTTCACGCTCTCGCTCCTTCCTGCGTACAGCCAACACAAGCCCCTCCCACAGTGCGGCTGATTAGAAGAGCAAGACCAAACGTGAAGCAAAAACCAGTCTAAATTTGTGTTCCAGTGTTGGCACAAAGCAGGTCTACAGCATAGAGCGGATCTACAGAACAGACCTACTGCCACATTTGGCTGAAGTTTGTCTAACAAAAGTGACAAATGCATCTGTGTTTGTCACGATGTGCGTTTGGTTTGGTAAACGTGCAGCGGCTGGTAAATATCACTGCAAAACCAGAAAAGAATGAAACTCCAGTTTGGAACTTTAAAAAACAGGTTTAAAAATCTTCCTTCACTTTTTCCACAGTTTTGTGTAAAGTGTTAGAGGAAGTTCTCTTAAAGAAGAGGTTCTCAAACTGTGGGGGAGGGTCCAAAAAAGGGGCACAGAGTGTTTCAGTGCAGTTTGTTTGACTTTGTATTAGGTCGATCATTATGACTTGGTCATTTTGTAAGTAGCTCACATGATGAAAAAGTGTGAACACCGCTGATGTAAATGAAATGAAAAGTGAAAAAATAGGGACAAAGGGCGTCTTTGTCACACAGTATCACACAAAACTGACTCCTGTCAACTTGAACTCATGTTCTAATGTTAGAACCTCCTCAAAAACAGAGCTGGACTTGTGTTTTGTTTCATTCACATGTTTGACTCTTTATTATGAGTCTGTTACATCTGCAAAGCTCCAAACACTCTGCTCCACCTTGTGATGTCATGAAGTGGTAGTTATAGTTTTTAGTTGTGAATATTGTAGATAAACGTCCATCAAAGTGTCGCTGGAGATTCAGGCACAATGAGCTTCAGCTTCTGCAGCTGCTCACTGACTGACCCCTGGTGGACACTGACTGCAGGTGCACTTCAGGTTCACTTTGGTTTTATTGTGACTTGAGGCGCACTGACTGGAGTCTCTGGTGTTGTGTGGTCTCTGTGGTCTGTGGACGGGGTCCGCCGCCTCTTCTGACATCCCTTCATTACCACATTCCTCTATTTAGACGCGCTGGTTTTCTGACACTTTTTAGTATTGCTATTCGGACTTTTTTTTTTAGAGTTGTGATAGTTTATCCAGGCACGTCTCTGTTCTTTGATCTACTTAATCTCAACAACCATCAAGTGACAAATATTTGTAGCAGAGTTGAGCGATATCCTACTTTTAATACCGTTAAACCTTCTCTGCATTTTACCGGAGTATGTGGTATTACTGTATTACCAAAATGTTTTAGTAAGTTATGAAGCTACAAAGCTGCACCGTGATGTGGTCTGTGTGTACGACCTGCACGTTTATAATCTCTGAAAACTTTCACATGAACCATGTCCAACACGACACACACACACAGAACAAACTCACCATCAGCAGCACATCCTCTGTCACAGACAGAACACTCATATTCCACTGAGTCGTGTCCTTCAGTCCAACAGAAGCTGAACCACATCAGCGACACAAGGAAACAACTGTTTTTATCAGCACTTTAACGTTTATGCAAATGAGTCATGTGGTTTTAAGTTTGGTTTTGGGTAAAACATAAACTAATGTGTCAAAGCTGCATTAAACACATTATTACTCAATGTATATTTGAGTCGTCCTCGTAGGAAATAAAAAAACAAACTTAAATGATCCACCCACATTCACATTCATAAAACACATTCACATAGACCGAGAGACACCGGGCGACTTCCACCACGATCTGCCGACGGATCGAGGAGCCTGGACCAAAGATCAGACTCAAGTGTCGTCTGTTTGTTTCTCTTAATGCTCCTTATAATCCAGTGCCACTTATGTGTGAAAATAGACGAGAGAATTCAACATTATTGATGTTGCGCCTCATAATCCGAAAAATATGATAATAATAAAAACACTAATAATAAAAGAACAATAAATAGCAAATGCCGTAACAAAAATATATGTTATGGCCTTGGCTACAGCGAACCTCGAGACCACAGTTGGTTTATTTACTCGTCTCCCCGGTCATTCAGCCTGAAGACAAAATGCTGCCAAACTGTAGAAGTTCTAGTATTTTCATTTGGGACCAACTCGTTTGTGAGACTCACAGCTCTGAGCAGAACCAGAGGAGCTCGACACTGAGCAGTGATGAAATGTACAAGGCGACAGAAAATAAAGTCAACAAACCTTTTAAAATCAATGCCCCAGGATTTGGAGCTGTCGCTCTTCACAGAAACTGGACCAGGTTTAGTCCCAGATCCGGGTGGGTCCATCTCGGTCCTGCACAAAACAATGACATGAGAACTATGGTAAACAAAGACACATTTAAAGCTCCTGTATCACACAAAACTGACTCCTGTCAACTTGACTCATGTTCTAATGTTAGAACCTCCTCAAAAACAGAGCTGGACTTGTGTTTTGTTTCATTCACATGTTTGACTCTTTATTATGAGTCTGTTACATCTGCAAAGCTCCAAACGCTCTGTTCCACCTTGTGATGTCATGAAGTGGTAGTTCTAGTTTTTAGTTCAGTCGAGATTGACAAATCCAGAACTGAAATGATCCAAATGATTCTAGTGAAGATGTGTGGAGTTTAAAAACACAGTGGAGCACTTCCTGTATCACTTCATGACATCACAAGAGAGTTTAAATCAGGAGAGTCAAACTCATTTTGTTCCGGGGTCGAGTCCAACCGACTTTGATCCAAAGTGTCCGGATCAGAAAACTCATGTCATATAAACCCCAAAAATAACAATAAGTTCAAATATTTGTGCAGAGAAACACAAATCTATTACAGAAATCTTTTTGAATTGATGAACTTTTTCTTTTACAAAATATTATAATATTATGAACAACCTGAAACTTTAAGAAAAATACAATTTCAACACAAAGTTTGAACATGAACTTGTCTGTAAACGGGAATAAGTCCATTTTTGTTGTAAAATCCTGCACTCGGCTCCACTTTTCTCATGTTAGACATTTTTGTGATGAGGGTGTCACGGTCAACAGTCAAAACGATCGTCCTTTAAGAGCGTTTGGAAAGAGACAAGTCTTCATTTGTGCTGCTCTGGTGGGAGGGGCCACGTACAGAGACGCTGGAGACGCTGCTGTGATAAACACCACAGAAAATTAACACCATTTTAATAGAAAATATCATTCAAATATTTTAGTAGAAAATCAGACGGGGCCAGATTAAAGGTCTTGGAGGGCCAGATCAGGCCCCCGGGCCGTATGTTTGACACTCCTGGTTTAAAACCTAAATGTGCAGGTTTGTGTCAAACGTGTGAAAACAAAACACAACTCCAGATGTTTGTGACGAGGAAACGACTTCAGAACAGAGAGAAAATCTTGTCCTGTGAACCTTTAAACTGCACTGATGTTGTATCATGTTGGAGATAAACGTCCATCAAAGTGTCGCTGCAGATTCAGGCACAATGAGCTTCAGCTTCTGCAGCTGCTCATTGACTGACCCCTGGTGGACACTGAATGCAGGTGCACTTCAGGTTCACTTTGGTTTTATTGGGACTTGAGGCGCACTGACTGGAGTCTCTGGTGTTGTGTGGTCTCTGTGGGCCGAGGGCCGAGTGTGGAAACTGTTCTCCTGAGACAAAGTGTTGGTGTGGATTCAGGCTCTGCTCAGGACTTCACACTGTACATGTGTGAACAAGAAACTTTGTTGGGAAACAACAGCAGCATTTCACACTCTGACCACTTCCTCCAGCTTTTGGAAACTGTGACGATCTGCACTGGGTAAGTACATGTGTGAGTCCCAGGAGTGTGCGGGGATATTTTATTCTGAAAATACAGCGGATCTGTCTGAGTTTGATTTCCTGTTTGTCTCATGTGATTTTGTCAGCGTGACGTCACAGAGCTCAGGTCTGTCTGGTTTAGTCCTGGTTTAGTCCTGGTTTAGTCCTGGTTTAGTCCTGGTTTAGTCCTGGTTTAGTCCTGGTTCAGTCCTGGTTTAGACCTGGTTTAGTCCTGGTTTAGACCTGGTTTAGACCTGGTTTAGACCTGGTTTAGACCTGGTTTAGTCCTGATTAAATCCTGGTTTAGTCCTGGTTTAGTCCTGGTTTAGTCCTGGTTTAGTCCTGGTTTAGTCCTGTTTATCCTGGTTTAGTCCTGATTAGTCCTGGTTTAGTCCTGGTTTAGTCCTGATTAAGTCCTGGTTCAGTCCTGATTTAGTCCTGGTTCAGGCCTGGTTTAGACCTGGTTCAGTCCTGGTTTAGTCCTGGTTTAGTCCTGGTTCAGTCCTGGTTCAGTCCTGGTTCAGTCCTGGTTTAGTCCTGGTTTAGTCCTGATTAAGTCCTGGTTCAGTCCTGGTTTAGTCCTGGTTTAGTCCTGGTTCAGTCCTGGTTCAGTCCTGGTTTAGATCAGATTGGTCCAAATAGAGACACTGGGACAAATCCCTGGTTTTGTATAAATCTGTTGGGACAGAGACACAGGATCAAAACTGTCCCGGGGAAACGGGACTGTCACAAAGAGAATCCCGGAGCAAAAGTGAGACACGTGTCAAAGCTCGAGCTCTGCGCGTCCCGCTCAACTAGAGTTTATGTTTTTCTTCCCAAATTCCAACCCGTGATCCCGGCGCGGCGCGGCCCGCACTCGCCCCGCTCCACAGTGAAAGTGGAGCCGCTCTGAGACTCCAGTCCTGCCTGAAGGAGCGACCCACACGCACCGACACAACCATGTTTACATCTGAGTGAAAAACGAGACCAGTCCTGGTCCAGTCCCGGTCTAGTCCTGGTCCAGTCCCGGTCCAGTCCCGGTCTAGTCCCGGTCTAGTCCCGGTCCAGTCTGTAGTTTTTGTGATAAAAACAGAACAGAGACTCACCGAGAGGCGCAGAGTTTTGACGCAGTTGGACTTTGCCCTCCTCCTGCAGTACCAGACTTTAACCACACGGGGCGGATTTACAGACCTGGTTCAGGGCTCGTAGATTCTCTTGTTTCTTTACTTAGCTCCGCCCACAGGAAGTTGAGGGGTTTTTGAACAGGTCTTTGCCCCTCCCTTTCTCCCTCTCTCCCTCTCCTCTTCTCCTTCTCTCCTCGCTCTCCTCTCTTGCAAACAGGAAAACCACCTCTCTCTCTCTACCCCCCACTCCCTTTCTCCCTCACTTTTCTCTCTCTCTCCTTTCCCATTCCCTCCTCCCCTCTTTCTCTCTCTCCCCTCTTCTCCCTCCCTCCCTCCCTCCCTCCCTCACTCTCTCTCTCTCTCCTCCCTTCCTCCGTCTCCTCCTTCCTTCCCTAACTCTTCTCTCCCCTTGCTTTTCTTTCTCTCTCTCTCTACACACATTCACCCACTCCCTCCTCTTTCTCCTTTAGACCTGCCCCCTCATCCCTCTCTCCTCCCTTCCCTTCCTCTTCTCTCTCCCTCGCTTTTCTTTCTCTTCTCTCCTTTGTCTCCTCTGCACATTCACCTGCCTCCCTCCTTCTCTCTCTCTCTCTCCTCCGTTCCTTTCTTCCTCCATCTCCTTCTCTTCCTTTTCTCTCGCTCTCTACCCCACCCACTCCCTCTCTCCCTCGCTTTTCTCTCTCTCTTTCTGTGTGACCTGATTCTGTCGTTTCTTGTTTCTTCTTCTCGTGTCAGTTTTTTTTATTTATTTATTTCATATTCCTCCTTTTTTCCATCTGTAAACAAACACACAACAAACACACAACAAACACACAATAAACAACACACACACACAACAAACACACAACAAACACACACACAAACACACAACAACACACACAACACACACACACAACAACACACACACACAACAAACACACAACAACAAACACACACAACAAACACACAACAACAAACACACAACACACACACAACAAACACACAACACACACAACAAACATAACACACAACAAACAACACACAAACACACAAACACACAAACACACACAACAAACACACACAACAAACACACAACACACACACACACACAACACACACACACACACACACACACACACAACACAACACACACACAAACACACACACACACACACACAACACACACACACACACACACAACAAACACACAACACACACAACACACACACAACAACACACACACACACACACACACACACACACACACACACACACACAACACACACACACACACAACAACACACACAACACACACACACACACACAACAACACAACAACACACACACACAAACACACAACAAACACACACACACACACACAACAAACACACAATAAAACACACAACAAACACACAACAACCACACAATAAACACAACAAACACACAACAACCACACAATAAACACACAACAAACACACAACAACCACACAACAACACACAACAAAACACACACAAACAACACACACAACAAACACACAACAAACACACAACAACAAACACACACACAAACACACACAACAAACACACACACAACAAACACACAACAAAACACACAACACACACACACACACAACAAACACACAACACACACACACAACAACACACACACACACACACACACAACACACAACACAACACACACAAACACACACAACAAACACACAACAAACACACACACACAACAAACACACAACACAAACACACACACAACAAACACACAACAAACATAACACACAGACACACAAACACACAAACAACAAACACACAACAAACACACAACAAACACACACACAACACACAACAAACACACACACACACAACACACATAAACACACAACACAAACACACAACACAAACACACAACAAACACACAACACACACACACACAACACACAACACACACACACAACAAACACACACACACACACAACAAACACACAACACACACACAACACACAATAACACACAACACACACACAACAAACACACACAACAACAACACACACACAACACACACAACAAACACACAACACACACACAACACACACAACACACACACAAACACACACACAACAAACACACAACACACACACACAACACACACACAACACAACACACACATAAACACACACAACACAAACACACAACACAAACACACACACACACACACAAACACACAACAAACACACAACACACCACACACAAACAAACACACAACAACAAACACACAAACACACACAAACACACACACAACAAACACACAACAAACACACGGAAACACAACACACAGACACACAACAAACACACAAACAACAAACACAAACACACAACAAACACAGACACACACACACACACTTCTTCTTCTTCGTCACTAAATCAGGTCCAAACTCCAGACACATTTTAAAAAATCAAACACTTTATTTTTATTTAGCAAAAGTTTGAATCTCTTGTCGTTGCGTTTGATATTTACAGTAATAAATCTGAAAAATATGAAAACACATATTTACACGTCATCCTGAAACTCGAGTCGCACCCAAAACTCGAGTCGCGCCCGAAACTCGAGTCGCGCCCGAAACTCGAGTCGCGGCGAAAACTCGAGTCGCGCCAAAATGTCGAAAATGGCCGAGTTTGATTTGATTGGCAGCTCAGGAAGAAGACAAGATGGCTGACAGGAAGTGATGTAACAGTAAACAGGAAGAGGCCGTAAACTTTACAACTTTACAAATGGTTAAAAACAGCGTCGGGTTTTTGTCAGTGAATGAGTCCTACTTTAGTCCTTTTAAAAACCTGGTTCAGTTCTAGTTCAGACCCACGCAGACCTGGTTTAGATCTTAAAAGTGTCTTGGTCCAGTTTCAGACCTGTTTAAGTCCTGGTTTAGTTCCAGGTTTAAAAGTGGAGCCATTTCAGTCGTGGGACAGTCCTGGTTTGATCCAGGGTTAGTCCTTGTTTAGTTCTTATTTGGTCCTAGATAAGACCTGGTTTAGTTCTGAAATGGTCCTGGTTTAGACCTGGTTTAGACCTGGTTTAGACCTAAGTTTAGACCTAAGTTTAGACCTAAGTTTAGACCTGGTTTAGACCTGGTTTAGACCTAAGTTTAGACCTGGTTTAGACCTAAATTTAGACCTGGTTTAGACCTAAGTTTAGACCTGGTTTAGACCTAAATTTAGACTTGGTTTAGACCTAAGCTGAGACTGGTTTAGACCTGGTTTAGACCTGGTTTAGGTCTAAGTTTAGACCTGATTTAGGCCTATGTTTAGACCTGGTTTAGACCTAAGTTTAGACCTGATTTAGACTTGGTTTAGACCTGGTTTAGACCTAAATTTAGACCTGGTTTAGACCAAAAAGTGGGACATTTTTTAGGACAGTTTGTTGAACACTTGTTGTAAAACTTTGTCCAGTGAAAATGAGCAGGAAACATTTTAAAATCCAAACCTGTGAGACTCTCTGGGGTCTGGTTCTGGTCTGGGTCTGGTTCTGGTCTGGGTCTGGGTCAGAGTCTGGATCTGGGGTCAGTTGTAAAGGTTGCGCCCCCTGGTGAAGGTCTGGGTCTGGGTCTTGGTCTGGGGTCTGGGTCGAGGTCTGGGTCTGGGTCTGGGTCCTGGTCCTGGGTCGGGTTTTGGCTCACGGTGCAGGGAGTTCATGGTGAAAATAGTGCATAAAAACAGGAAGTTTGTGCTCTGTTTCTGTTTGTCAATGGTTCAGTTTAAAAACAGTTTTCAAAAAGATGAAACAGCATCACGATCAGAGGACAGCGCCACCTGGAGGACGGGAGGAAGTCCTGCTCTAGACCTGGTTCAGTCCTCGTTTGGTTTTGGTTTAGCTCCGATCTAGTCCAGTCCAGTTCAGCTATTAGTACCAAACCAGACCTAAGCTAGGACTAAACCAGGACTAAACCAGAACTAAACCAGCACCAAACCATGACCAGTTTGGACCAAGTAGTAATTTAAACCTGGTTTCGTCCTGGTTCAGTCCTGTTTCAGACCCTGGTCTGGTCCCCAGTTCGGTCCTGCTTCAGCCTTGGATCAGTCCTGGTTTAGACCTGGTTTAGACCTAAGTTTAGACCTAAGTTTAGACCTGGTTTAGATCTAGTTTAGACCCAAGTTTAGACCTGGTTTAGACCTGGTTTAGACCTGGTTTAGACCTAAGTTTAGACCTGGTTTAGACCTGGTTTAGACCCAAGTTTAGACCTGGTTTAGACCTAAATTTAGACCTGGTTTAGACCTGGTGTAGACCCTGGTGTAGACCTGGTTTAGACCTGGTTTAGACCTGGATTAGACCTGGTTCACACCTAAATTTAGACCTGGTTCAGTCCCTAGTTTAGTCCCGGTTTAGTCCTGATCTAGTCCTGGTCTAGTCCTGGTTCATGTCTGTTTGTCGTTGTGAGTCTGGGTCAGTTCTCCTCCCGTCCTGTCGGCGGCGTTTGTGTTTTAGCTTTTCCACCAAAGCCCTAAAGAGAAAAACATGAGCAGCAATTTCACATTCACAAAACCCCAGAGTCGGCCATCGTACCGGCAAAAATATTACACAATTTACACCCAAATTTAAATTTTAAACCTTCAAAATCAAAAAAACAGAAAATGACATCCAGCTTTCCTCCTGGAAACAAAACAAAACATAAAACATTTACAATTTTACAAACAAAATAAAGCAACGTTACACAGACCACAGTTTGGTTTTCGGCAAGCAAAATTAAAAGTAAAATTCTCAACCACGAAATTCTGAATTCTTCAAAACGAGACGAGGAGTAGAAAGAGGTTAAGCCACAGATGGCGACAGGCGAGATTTAAAAAAACGATTTTCTGACCAGCTCCTCGACGAAAATTTTGGTTTAAAAATTTTCATTCATCAGATTCGACTTGACCCGATGCATTGTGGGAATTGTAGTCTTTTTTTTTCACATTTACTTAATTCACGAGTTTATGGGCGACATTTTTGAAAACTTGTACAAATTCATATGGATTTAGAAAAGAATAATATTGTGTTTCAGATTGTTAATCGCTATGGCAACGGTCATGAATAGTTTTCTCTCCGTTCTGTCCTGAATTCCCGTGGAGCTCGTCACGTTTCACTCACATTTCTCTCGCTGCGGACGCCATTTTGAGGACTTTTTTTTTTTTTTTTTTTTTTTTTTACCGTTTGAAAATACAGAAAAGTGACGTTATGAATGGTTCATTACTACGGCAACAGTTTTTATTCAGTGTCACCGTAAATAAATGGTTTTAGTCAGAACAGAACGGAGAGAAATGAAATTCATCGTTCATTCGTTTTTCAAAATAAAACAAGAAAACGAAAAAAAAACAAAAAAAAAACAATAAAAAACAGATAATGATTTGTCTTTTCAGTTTTTGATTTTGAGTTTAAATGAGAAATTGAAAAAAACAATAAAGGTCTAAACCAGGACTGAACCAGGACTGAACCAGGACTGAACCAGGACTAAACCAGGACTAAACCAGGACTAAACCAGGACTGAACCAGGACTAAACCAGGACTGAACCAGGACTAAACCAGGACTAAACCAGGACTAAACCAGGATCAAACTAGAACTAAACCAGGACTAGACTAGGACTGAACCAGGTCTAAACCAGGTCTAAACCAGGTCTAAACCAGGACTAAACCAGGACTAAACCAGGTCTAAACCAGGACTAAACCAGGTCTAAACCAGAACTGAACCAGGTCTAAACCAGGACTAAATCAGGACTAAACCAGGATTAAACTAGGACTAAACCAGGACTAAACCAGTCCAAAGATTAGTCCCGGTTCAGTCCTGGTTTAGTCCATTATCCATTTTTTCCATTTTTCATTTAAACACAAAATCAAAAACTGAAAAACCAAATCATTTTCTGTTTTTTTCCTTTTGGTTTTGGAGACAAATAATGAAAAAAAAAAAAAAAAAAAAAAAGTTGTTTTTGTCGTTTTCTTATTTTTGGTTTTATTTTGAAAAACAAATAAACGAACGAGACACAGATTAAATGAGATCAGTTTGCAACAAATTCAAAAATTGTGTGAAAAAGTTGTAAATGTGGTACGTTGTTGAGCCGGTCGGAGCTGGACGATGTTTCGACGTCAGTGCTTCGAGAGTTTACTTCATTGTTCCGTTTTTAAAATCCACTGAGACGAGGCTTCCTGAAATTACAATTCTCAACTTGGTTTTTGCAGTTCGACAAAAACGGTAAAGTTTTTGTAGCTTAATTTGGTGAAAAAAACGTTAAAAAATGCAAAAATGTCTCCCAAATAAACGTTAAAAAACTACGACGGTGACACAAGTTGAGAATTTCAGCCAATAAACAAACAAATAAAGCGAGTGTTTCCGATGCTAACGTGGCTACCGCTAAAAATAAAGCAACAACAACCGTGGCGCGCTGATTTTTGGTGTCCCTGAAAAACGATTGCACCTCGAAAGTTCCTGCCTCCTTTTTTTTTTTTTTTTTTTTTTTCTTTCTTTCTTTTTCTTTCTCCTGTTCAGTCGTCAAATCTTGCACATTCCATCAAAAAAAACGAAACATCTTTGCACCAAACAACATTCAAAAGATCATGGCACGATACGAGTCTTTTCGCGTTTTTTTTGCGATGCCTCTTTGCAAAATTCGTTTATTTGTCGTTTTCCTAAAAGTCCAAAATGACGCACGACTGATTCTTCTGAGGTTTAAGTCGTGTTCTTGTGTTTCCTCGTCAAAAAAACAGAGCTGGAGTTGTGTTTGTTTCCTTCACGCGTTTGAGTAAATCTGCATTATTCGTCTCCAAACGCTCTGATCCACCTCGTGATGTCATCAAGTGATAGTTTTTGTTTTTTTTTCCAAGCGAGCAGCTCCTTTTACGTTTAGTTCAGTCGAGATTGACAGTTCCAGAGTTGAAATGATCTGGATGATTCTAGTGAAAGTGTGTGGAGTTTAAAAACACAGTGGAGCACTTCCTGTATTATCACCACACGATGACATCACGAGGTGGAACAGAGCGTTTTCAGTTTGAGAGAAGAACTCAGCCAATCCAGGTTCAGGTTTAGTCACGGTTTTGGTTTGGTCCAGGTTCAGTTTACGTTTGGTCCAAGTTTAGTCCTGGTTTAGTCCAGCTTTAGTCCCAGTTTAGTCCAGGTTTGGTTCAGGTTTAGTCCCGGTTTAGTCCAAGCTATAGTCCATCTTTAGTCCAGGTTTAGTTCAGATTTAGTCCAAAGTTTGGTTCAGGTTTAGTCCATCTTTAGTCCCAGTTTAGTCCATCTTTAGTCCCAGTTTAGTCCATCTTTAGTCCCAGTTTAGTCCAGCTTTAGTCCAAGGTTTAGTCCATCTTTAGTCCAGCTTTAATCCCAGTTTAGTCCATCTTTAGTCCAGGTTTAGTCCATTTTTAGTGCATCTTTAGTCCCAGTTTAGTACATCTTTAGTCCAAGGTTTAGTCCAAGGTTTAGTCCAACTTTAGTCCAACTTTAGTCCAACTTTAGTCCAACTTTAGTCCAACTTTAGTCCCAGTTTAGTCCCAGTTTAGTCCAAGTTTAGTCCAAGTTTAGTCCAAGTTTAGTCCAAGTTTAAGACAAAGATGTTCATTTTGTCTTCAGGTTTGGTCTGATCCAAGTTTAGTCCAGGTTTGGTTCAAGTTTAGTCCAGGTTTGGTTCAAGTTTAGTCCAGGTTTGGTTCAGGTTTAGGCCAAACTCTAGTCCATCTTTAATCCATCTTTAGTCCAAGGTTTAACTGAGGTTGAATCCACGTTTAGTCCAGTTTTAGTCCAACTTTAGTCCAGGCTTGGTCCAAGTTTAGTCCTGGTCTAAACAAAACACAGCTCCAGTTCTGTTTGTGATGAAGAAACATAAAAACACGGATCAGAAAACGGCGTAATCTTGGACCTTTAAAGTGAAAATTCTTCTTTGCGTTAAAAAACGGTCGTATTCTGTGCAAACTCTGCAGGTATGAGTAGTGAGAGGAGAGGGCAGTATCAGAGTTTTTTACAATTGTACAAAAATTTTAAACAAACAAACAAAAAAGCTGATTTCTTCCTGGAAACGAAGTCACGTGGTCCAGATTCTCTTCACGGATTGGCCCACTTAGTCCGCGACGTTCCGAGTCCAGCGTCACTTCATGAAAACGAGAAAACTCCCAAAAAAATTCAAACCACAACATCCACGAGTTTCATCCCAAATTTTCCGGAATTTTTGTCAAGTTTGTAAATCCCAGAGACGTTTTTCCTCCCGTTCGTGTACCGTTCCTGGCGGCTGAGTCGAGTCGCGTCGCTTTGGAGCAGCGTTGGCGTCGGCGTCGGTGGAGGTTGTAGTTTTCCGGAGTGTTTTTAGGTTTAGAGTTTCCGTGAAAAGCGCGCGGGCAGGAGAGCGCCCTCAGCTGGTCAGAGCCATAGTGTCAATGACCTGCTCCAGTTTGCTGCGCAGTCTCTGCCTCCTCGCCTGCTCGTCTCGCTCCAGCGCCGACAGGATCTGCACCAGAAACAAAATCACACACAAATATTTCCCCAAACTGATTTTCATTGATCAAATTCAAATTTTCAGTTGATTTCATTTTTCAAATATCATTTTGGTAAATATAAAATTAGGGGCGTGTGGCTCAGTGGGAGGGCGTGTGGCTCAGTGGCTCAGTGGGAGGGCGTGTGGCTCAGTGGCTCAAAGGCTCAGTGTGTCCCCGTGTCCTCGTGTGTCTCCGTGTGTCCCCGTGTGTCTCCGTGTGTCTCACTGTCCCCGTGTGTCTCCGTGTGTCCCCGTGTGTCTCACTGTCCCCGTGTGTCTCCGTGTGTCTCACTGTCCCCGTGTGTCTCCGTGTGTCTCCATGTGTCTCAGTGTCCCCGTGTGTCCCCGTGTGTCTCCGTGTGTCCCCGTGTGTCTCCGTGTGTCTCCGTGTGTCTCAGTGTCCCCGTGTGTCCCCGTGTGTCTCAGTGTCCCCGTGTGTCTCCGTGTGTCCCCGTGTGTCTCCGTGTGTCTCCGTGTGTCCCCGTGTGTCTCAGTGTCCCCGTGTGTCTCCGTGTGTCTCCGTGTGTCCCCGTGTGTCTCACTGTCCCCGTGTGTCTCCGTGTGTCTCCATGTGTCTCAGTGTCCCCGTGTGTCCCCGTGTGTCTCCGTGTGTCCCCGTGTGTCTCCGTGTGTCTCCGTGTGTCTCAGTGTCCCCGTGTGTCCCCGTGTGTCTCCGTGTGTCTCCGTGTGTCCCCGTGTGTGTCTCCGTGTGTCTCCGTGTGTCTCCGTGTGTCTCCGTGTGTCTCCGTGTCCCCGTGTGTCCCCGTGTGTCTCCGTGTGTCTCCGTGTGTCTCCGTGTGTCTCCGTGTGTGTCTCCGTGTGTCTCCGTGTGTCCCCGTGTGTCTCCGTGTGTCTCCGTGTGTCCCCGTGTCTCCGTGTCCCCGTGTGTCCCCGTGTGTCTCCGTGTGTCTCCGTGTGTCCCCGTGTGTCTCAGTGTCCCCGTGTGTCTCCGTGTGTCTCCGTGTCCCCGTGTGTCTCCGTGTGTCTCAGTGTCCCCGTGTGTCTCCGTGTGTCTCAGTGTCCCCGTGTGTCTCCGTGTGTCTCCGTGTGTCCCCGTGTGTCTCAGTGTCCCCGTGTGTCTCCGTGTGTCTCAGTGTCCCCGTGTGTCTCCGTGTCCCCGTGTGTCTCCGTGTCCCCGTGTGTCTCCGTGTGTCCCCGTGTGTCTCCGTGTGTCTCCGTGCGTCCCCGTGTCCCCGCGTCTCACCTCGTCCTTGTACTTGGTGATGTAGGAGTAGATCTCGTGCAGGGCCGACATGCTGTTGAACTGGTTGATGTGGAGGCGGGACTGCTCAGCGAGGTACGCGCTCATGTCCTGGTCCGAGATCACGGGAAGACGAGAGATGTCCGAGTAGTACCTGAGAAAAGTACACACAGAAGTATTGTAAATACACTAACAAGTACTTCAAATACTGTGGAGTAGTAGTAGTAGTAGTAGTAGCAGTAGTAGTGTTTGTGTGTGTTCATCTCTATGTTCTTCATGTACAGTCGTAGTATTCACAGTACTTCACTTCTGTACCCTGATCTTATAGTTTGGGATACATTTCACCTACAGTAGTAGTAGTAGTTGTAGTAGTAGTATTTGCAGTAGTAGTAGTATTCGCAGTAGCAGTACTCACCTCTCGACCCAGTTCTTGTAGTTGGGTATATCTTTGGCGTACAGGAGCTTGTTGGAGTAGTAGTAGTAGTATTTGCAGCAGTAGCAGTAGTATTTGTAGTAGTAGTAGTAGTAGTAGTAGTAGTATTCGCAGTAGCAGTACTCACCTCTCGACCCAGTTCTTGTAGTTGGGGATGTCTTTGGCGTACAGGAGCTTGTTGGAGTAGTAGTAGTAGTATTTGCAGTAGTAGTAGTAGTAGTATTTGCAGTAGTAGTAGTAGTAGTAGTAGTAGTATTCGCAGTAGTAGTACTCACCTCTCGACCCAGTTCTTGTAGTTGGGGATGTCTTTGGCGTACAGGAGCTTGTTGGAGTAGTAGTAGTAGTATTTGCAGCAGTAGCAGTAGTATTTGTAGTAGTAGTAGTAGTAGTAGTAGTAGTAGTATTCGCAGTAGCAGTACTCACCTCTCGACCCAGTTCTTGTAGTTGGGGATGTCTTTGGCGTACAGGAGCTTGTTGGAGTAGTAGTAGTAGTATTTGCAGCAGTAGCAGTAGTATTTGTAGTAGTAGTAGTAGTAGTAGTAGTAGTAGTATTCGCAGTAGCAGTACTCACCTCTCGACCCAGTTCTTGTAGTTGGGGATGTCTTTGGCGTACAGGAGCTTGTTGGAGTAGTAGTAGTAGTATTTGCAGTAGTAGTAGTAGTATTTGTAGCAGTAGTAGTAGTATTTGCAGTAGTAGTAGTAGTATTAGTAGTAGTCGCAGTAGCAGTACTCACCTCTCGACCCAGTTCTTGTAGTTGGGGATGTCTTTGGCGTACAGGAGCTTGTTGGACGGAGAGTCTTTGCCCAGTTTGTGTTCGGACGTGGAGCACGAGTCCATGAAGGTCTGAGCCACCACAGACAAACAGGCGTCTGTGATGGAGCTTTTATGGATGTCGAACACAAACTGAGGGTTTTTTATCACGTTCACCCAGAAACGCAGAGGAAGACTGGACAAACAGACGGACAGGAGATTAACAAGATTTTAATAGAAAATATCATTAAAATATTTGAGTAGAAAATCAGTCGAGGGCCAGATTAAAGGTCTTGGAGGGCCGGATCTGGCCCCCGGGCCGTATGTTTGACAGCTGTGGTCTAGAGCGTCGACGCCTGATTCGCGGCGCTTCTTGAACGTTCAGGCGTTGATGCTCTGGACTCGCGTTCAGGACGTCGCCGTCAGGAGTTAAAAAAGCTGAACTTTTGCGGCGCTGGTGCCTGAAGACGCACCTCAAAATGACAGGACCAACTGGACCAGTGTTTCACAAAGACCTCGTCAAGACCCTCAGGAGGGTCAAAGGAGATTATTTTTGTGTCACCTCGTCATGATCTGCATGTAGATCTGTGATGTACAGTTCTGACACATGAGAGGAACTATTTTACTCCAGTATTGTGTTGGAACAGTAGAATTGTGTTGTATAAATCACTCAGTCAACAATAAAATATCCACATTCATGTTCAATAATGATCAAATCCACATTTATGTTGTGATTTATGAATAACGTCTGTGGACTTGGGTTTTAAACTATGGTTCCCCAGAAACACCCGTGTGTGAAACGCTGGTGTAGACATGTGTCCTCAGACTCTGTGTGAACTGGACGTCCTGATGTTCTGGTCTAAACGCAGCGTTAAAACTCACAGATGTTGGAGCTTTTCCTCGTTTGTCACAGGTTCTAGACTCTAGATCAGGCATGTCCAAACTATGGCCCGGGGACCAAATGAGGCCCTCAGACAAATTTTTCTTGGCCCTCAGGAGTCCAGGAGAATTGGCCGTGCATCAACGAAAAATCTACTTTTTATTGCAAGTTTTTTGAAAATCGACCTTGATAAATCTCATATTTAATATTGAGTTTGTAGTTTTGAGGATCTGATGGATCATTTTGACGTGTGAAACATGCAGATA